GTTGTTCACATTGCTTAAGCCCAGCACCATTGCAGACGTTGTTGTCTATGATGTGGGGTCAATAGCAATCTTCTTAACAATTGCCACGAGTGCAGGGCACTAGCCACCAGTCAACGGCAAATGGTTCTGGTCAATATGAGAACATCCAGGGTGTCTTGAAAATGCTGCAGAATGGAGATAAAAGTGACTTGCGAGTCTGCCATCGCTTGTGAGCAGAAGCGTCGAACCATGCAGGGTGATGTCACTCTGGCTGCAACGGTACCCCTCAAACTTGCCATATTTCCGTGTTCCAACCATCATCACAACACCACTGTGGACACGTCCAGGTGTGTGTCAGCTGAGATTTGCCTTATGAACCAACCTGCCTGGCTCAGTCTGGTTACCATGCCCCTCATAAAATCATCTGTCTGCTTAAAACTGGCGTTGTTGATGGCCTGCCATTCTATGCTATTACACGTGTCCTCTGATACAAGAACAAATTTTCTATGATAATTTTCCTAGCAGAAATAACGGCACAAAAGTTGAACATTCTGCAGGTTCTTTCCCTTATATCTTCTTCAATGTGCGTTATACAGCTGTGCATTTCATATCATTCACATAACTCACTGACATGCATCTACCTTGAAATTTGCATAATTTTTGGTTCACTCCTTCTTGGTGTTGCATTTTCAGTGTCTGGTAATGTACATGGCAAGTCTTGAGAATTGACGGTGAGTCTTCAAATCATCTTGAAATGTTGTGTTTGGGGAAGAGGGGTGATAGACCTTCAGACCACCCCTTAAGATGTTCTCCATTAAAATGCCATACAGACAGATGCTTAGCAGTTCACAAGGTTTGGAATTACCTGCACAGGTGTTGGCCTTGCTTCAACCTGTACTTGTCGGTTGAGCCTGCCGTCCAGTTGGTATAGTGGTTAGTGACACTTACTGTCATACGAGTGGGTTCAGGGTTGAATCTCAGAGAAGGGATAGATGTTTGTAAGTGTATAGTGTCTGTGTAGCAGATATGCATTAAAAATATGCAGTGAGCCAAAAATTTACTCAAGAGGTTGGTGGTAGGAAAGAGGAATGTCCTTTCTCAAAATAGGGACTTAAATTTCACAGCTAGCAAAGCCCGGAAATACCGATTATACTTATGGTGATACATAGGTTCTGGCATTGCTTCAATTTGTACCTGTCAGTTGAGCCTCTAGCAGTTGCCTGTTTGTCTCCACTGAGTGAAAAGGTCTTTTATATACTCATTCATAGATCAGATATGGACATCCATTGCATCTGCATCTACAATCAGTTTCATTGACCCTCTTCGACTTTTCATAGGTACTAACAGTGGCAGTTTCAGAATAACTCACGAGCAGTGTTGTTTCAGAAATATAGCCTCCAGGCTATCTCAGTATGGCCTTTATCAGAATTGCTGAAATCAGCAACCTTTCTCATTATACATCAATATTGTCGACAAAATTATGCCTTATCATTTTGTCGACAATATGGATGTATAATAAAGGTATCCCAAACTGCTGTAAATAACGCTCTTACTTTGTCACACGTCATCCACATCATTTCAGTGAGTGCCTTGTATGAGTGTAAGTGTCATCATAATATTTTAGTAAATCAATGTATGTACTAATCAACAATTTTTGCTGTCAGTAAGGTTTTGGGTAAACATTAGGCAATTTATTATAATTTTGGAGAAGGGAATTTTGTTTGAGAATTTTCATCAGTAAACAAGATTGGTGCACTGACCGTCACATTATTCAAGGAATTACATTTATAATGACCAGATGCCAAGCTCACATTTTCCCAGCTGTAATTATAGTTTAAATTGTTTTCCTTCTTAAAAAAATTATATTTCTTTACATTTGTATAACAGATATACTGTTTATTCTCATAAGTTTAAATTAATAGATAAATTAACACAACACCTCTTTATGCTTCAAATGCAGATTACTTTATTTTTACTGTATTAGATACTCCAAACTCGATGGAATAAAATTCAAATACTTTATTATTTTATTTAAAAGATGAGACATGCTAAATTATAGCACTGTAATTATGTTATAAAATTAAATGTAAATAACTTTATAAATCTTTGCATTTTTATAAATTATTGGTAGGTTATGCTATGAATATCTTAGATACAAGGTAACCAAAAAAGTTCTTGCCATTTTGGACAGTCATAAAGAAAAGTCATAAAACAAATAATAATCACAGCTAATCCTCAAAGTAATCACCATTGGCATCCAGTGCCTTTTGCCAACGAGTGGTTACCTGTGCGATGCCATCACAATAAAACTCAGGAATCTTGGACATTAAAAATGTCCATGAGGGCCTATTCAGAGGTCTAGCCAGTTATTGAAGGATTTCACACAAAAATGGTTGTCCAGGGAATGGAAAAATGGGCAGTCTGTTGGTGCAAGGTCTGGGGAGTATGGTGGATGGAGTAGTGTCTCCCAGCCCAGTCGCTGGGTGTTGTCCCTGCCCTCCCAAGCCACACGCAGCCTCGCATTGTCATGAAGTACACCATGACACCATTATGACACCACCATGACACCATGGCGTACACCATTATGATTGACCAATGCCGATTCTTTATGCATCAGTGCCTGATGCACATGTTCCCCAACTGCTGCAAATACAGGCCTGCCATGATGGCTTGGCCCACTAGCAGGAGCTCATAGTGTAACACTTAGTGTCTAGGCCACCAGATACAGAGCATGATCTTGCATGGTTGGTGAGACTGTCTCACAGTATGAGGCACAGGGTTTCGTAGTGACAACCAATGTCTGGAATGCTTGGGTGTGTCATTCTGAACCCACTTTTCATCACTGGTGAGTACTGTATCAAATATTATAGATGCATTACGATGCCGAGTAAGCAATGACAAACAGGCAGCAACAAACTGTTACTTGTTTGCATCGGACAGTGAGTGGAGTACCTACTTGCTCAGCCTGTATGCCTTTCCTATGTGGTGCAAATGGAGTCTGATCATTTCATCAGATACCTGGAAGTGTGCACCGAAGCTTACCACATGTTTGGCTACTATCATTCTCTATGGCTGCTCTCAGGGCCTCATCATCCAGTGCTTGTGGCCGACTGCTGCGGAATGTATCACTAAGAGACATATTCCGTGACCTGAACTTCTGGGACTATTGCCTAGTGGTTCATTCATTAACGGCATCATCCCTAAAGACCTGGCAAATTCAGTGACTTCATTCTGCTCCTGACAGGCCCACTTTAAAATCATACAGCAAACGACTCCGAACGAGTACCTTTGATACTTCCATTTCAATCATTTGCTATGTGAGTTATGTTTAAAGTACCGATGCAGTGTGCTTTTATATTCTTGGTCAATATCTGGACTCTCATCACTTCATCGCCAGGTTTAACGACTATTTTTATGTTGGGGTTCACTCTTCCAATGTTATATCAGAAATAGCAAGAACTTTTTTTTTTATTATCTTGTAATTATCTTGCTAGGTAATTAACTACAGTCAAAAGTCTTTAATCCGGACTCGTCGGGACTTTGTCGATTCCGGATTATCGGTTTTTCAGGATTATAGATCATCAATTTAAATCTAGTAAGAAGGCATGCAGAAATTATACAGTTAAAAATATGAAACCATAATTTATGAAATAAAGATCAATTATGATCTAAAGGGTATCAAAATTTACAAAAAAAAGAGCTTAATATTTATTTGTTTGCTGTATTAAACATTTCTTTCAACGCGCGCATGCGTAAAGCATACATTACACATAGTCGGAATTAGAAAATTGCAAGCAGAAAACTATTTGATGTGTATTCGTGATATTTATAATGACGAGGATTTTGATTTAAATCATATCAAAAAGGGAGTACATCGAGATGAAATACTACATTTAGTAAGGAATTATAAGCCAAATAAAATAAAAACATCTGCCCTGAAGATAAGGATAGTGCTGACAGATCAACTTCCAGTTCATTGCGCGCCACAGCGTTTGCCCCCCCCCCCCCCAGCAGCATGAAATTGATAAACAGATTTTGGAATGGTTAGAGAAGCAAAGGATATGCCTTATCCATTTTTTGCAGCAATTCCACTTTTTGTTTGATGGACATCAAAACATGCTTTCGCTTTGTAGATCCTTTGGCAGCTCCAGAATCAGAAATTCTTTTTGACATAATCGAAAGTTCAAGCTTACTTTTATAAAATTGCTCTAACAGTGTGCAAAAAATAATAAGCCGGATCCAATTTGAAGATTAAGAAACAACGCAATCTGCAACATTAACTGAAATAGATAATTAGATAATTTTAGCTTAGCTTATACCATCCGTTATACATTAAATGCGCATGCGCAGAAAGTTTGTAGCTGTGTGGTCCGGATTATAGATCATTCCGGATTAAAGACTTTTGACTGTAATTGCAAGTTTTGCCAACTTTTGTACATTTTGGATCATGTGGTTAATGTTTGTGGTCTTCAGATCTTTGATATTATGTTGACTTTATTATTTAATTTCTTATTAGGACTGTTTGTTTTAGGAACTAACATAAAAAAATCTGTCTTTATTTCCATTCGTTCTTTCAATTTATTCATATAAGAGCCATTAAAAATTTTAAGAGTTATTTTAAAGTGTATTTCGTAAATTGTAGCAGAAAAAGGTTTCCTCTAACAAGCACTATTCATTGGTTCTCTAATTATGCACTCTAGTCATAAAATGGCAGTGCAACAATTTTAATATTATATTCTTTTGTAAAACAAGATGCAGCAAGCATATAGATTTAACATTACTATATTAATTTCTTTCTAGCATATGTCTTGTGCATGAGAAAATGGAAAATTAACATTAATACAAATATAGAAAACTATTTCAGACGTCAAACAACAAAAATGAGCGTTAACTCTGATTTTTGTTGTTTGACTTCTGAATTAGTATTTGTTCGGCGTGTTATTGTGTCTTAATTATAGAAAACTATGTCAATTAATTATATTTTTTTCTTTTTAAATAAATATATATATTATCTCTTCTAGGAGGAAGAAGTATATAATTTTATCAATGAACTATCTGTTGAAGTTCACAACAGACTTCAAAATATATCTTGCAAAGGCAAATCACTTACACTCAAAATTATGGTAAGTCTTATCGTCTCATGATTTTTATTCATATATTTACTTCATTTCTGACCATCTGTAACTTTAAATAATTTATCTCTAGCAAGTGTAACTTGAATACTAAATAGTTTTCCTTAGAAAGTCATCCACGGAAGCATCTTTCTTTAGTGTTGCTTTGTCATAGTTAATTAAACAACATATATTTTTATATGTTAGATTTTGTTACATTGTCACTAAGCAATTTGTTATAATTTGAAAGATGAAATAAAAAGCATTACACTGCATGAACTGAAAATTTTCTGTGTTCCATGAAAAATTAATATGGTCAGAGATATGTTCTGAAACAAGAATTGGAAAGTTTAGGCAAGGGAATTCCAGTGGGTTCGGTATACACCCACTTGGGGTTGATGATATTTTAAAAGGGGTCGGTACTGAAATATGTATGGGCAGTTGATCACCTTAATTAAAGATATCATTAATTACAAAAACTTTATTAATGAAATTGATATATTAAAAATCAATAATGTTTTTAAACAATCAGTATACAAAAGTAAAACTTAGGAACACAAGAATGCACAATTAAAAAATCCAAAGGAAGCAAAACTAATGAACTACATTAAAATCTGCATCATTCTTTCATCCTTGCTGTCTATTGAAACGTGTTAACAGAAGTGATGATCAAATGGCAGTTATGTCATCAAATATGTAAGCGTATCCTTTACATGTAGCAAGAACATTATAAGTTATGTGCTTGTGTTGTAATACTTTATAGAAAAAAATGTTAAGAGGTTGATGTAAGAAAACAATTGGGAATCTCTGTTGGGAAATCTATAGACATTTGTGCTGTCAAATGAATTTTATGTTAATTTATAATATTTGTGAAAACAGGATATATATCATGCCAGTGATGCACTTTCATGAAAATATGCAGAGAAATTATCGGCATAAAAGAAATTATGAGTAATTTTTTTATGCTTTGTGACTTTTGTGTGAAATACAATACTTTCTGTTTCTGCAAATAGATTTAAAGTAGTGCTTTACTGTAATCAGAATTAAGCTTAGAGCTGGTAAATTGCAAGTTTTAAATCGATTTTAATTTTTGGTCTAAAAAATGTGTATATTAATGAATAAATGTTCCTTAATATTTTTTAAATATGATGTCATTATTATTTTTATTTATTTATTTTTATTTTTTTTATTTATTTTTTTATTTTATTTATTTATTTATTTATTATTTTATTATTTATTTATTTATTTTTGTGCAGCATACATTACTATAAAAGGCTGTTATTAAATTGCTTTTTGCTGTTGTTACTTAATTCTTTCTTTTCTCCTCTTTTCTTTTTATCCACCCATCTCCTTTTAGGAAAGAGAGTAACTTTGTATCATACTTTCAAAGCATTTCATTCCATGTTTATAATGCTGAAATTTTATTTTTAGGTTAGAAGATCAGATGCTCCTTTAGAAACAGCAAAATTTATGGGCCATGGTGTTTGTGATAATGTTTCAAAGTCTGTGATTTTGAAGACTGCAACAGATAATCCAAAAGTAATAGGAAATGAATGCTGTCTGTTGGCACGATCATTAAAAATAAAGCCACAAGATTACAGAGGAGTAAGTTAAAATCTCAGAATTCTGTTAAATGTAATTTTTCAGGATTTGGCAAAATATAATTTTCTGAAACTGTTATGGTAAAAATTCAGATTATTGCACAGTCCAGTCTTTACTATGTAGATCCATCATTTGTTGCTGTCATAGACTCTACCTTTGAAGAAGAATTTTTGCAATAAATATTTGCAATTATTTCACTCCATTCTGTCTGTATCAGGTTGATAGTTTTATATAAGCTTTAAGTTGCAACATTTTCATTCCAGAGATGCTCATATGAGTTGAAAATGGGCTGCCCATTCTCAGCTCTTATGAGCATCTCTGGAATAAACATGAAGGGAATTCATTTACTGTCATTTCCATAAACTTCTCAGTTATAATCATTACTTTGAACGTGCATATTATCATGCTCGAAAAAAATGGTCCAATTCCAAACTGTTGCTGCAGAATAGACAGAACAAATCCCCTATTATTGCTTTATGGTATCCAGAGCACTGATTACTAAATTCAGTAAACAAAAGCTAAACCAAGCAAGATAGACCTGAGTGAAAAATTCCTTCTCTTCCAGATTTCACATTGCAGACAGTGCACTCCAGTAAGTAGCAATCCCTTGGCAGTTGGCATGTTCATGTGCAGCTCTCGAATTTCCACAACATTATAATGCAACTTTGCATTTTACAAGATGTATTTCTATTGACAGCTACAGTAATCACTGGCTTATATGTTGTACCTTGCACATCACTAGTTTATACGTTGCATCTTGTGTTTCATAGAATCCAAGTGGAGATATTTCTTTATGAATTATACAGAGCTGGTTTAACTTATGGCCAATTGAAAATCTTTTGCGTTTTGAGCAGCTGTGGTTTCTAATAACATGCCAGCTAGTTTGACTACACCATGCACTAAAAACATAGTGATCCTTCTCTGTCAATATTTTTAGGGGGATTCCCAGGCTGGGATTAGATTTTTATAACTTTTTCATGTTTCTCTTTCACTAAAACATCACTTGTTATTGCACAGAACATCTGGTATTTATCAGAAATGTCATAATTGGAATGAACTGAATCTGTGGGTATGGGTTCATGCTACACTGATTGTCACTCAGTTCACTCATTGTGTTTATTCTGAAAATAGTAATTGGTATACACATCTATTATGAGCTGTTAGCCTTTATAATATGTATCAATGACATGCAGGCAGTGTTAAGTATATCTAATAAATGTTTGGTCATTAATGGCAGAATAATGAATTTTTTACTAAAAAAATGACTGGCTTCTAAGACACCTTTACATATGTAAGCTTTATAAATGTTCCAAACTAGGATATAACTAAATGCTCTAAATATCATGCTAGGCAATATTCAGCAAATAAATTTTTCTGTAAGGTAAAATTCAAGGAAAAGTAGCCTGCCTGTTTTCTGAATATAGTGCATGTACGGCATATGGTTTTTAAGAAAACATTTCAACCCTTTGAGTGGATGATTGCTTTTATCGAATCACGAGATCTGTTATTGCTTGGCTTATATTATCCAACTTTTAAAAATAGTTTGTTTTTAGTCCAAAGGGGCTTTGTCCCTGAAGGACTATTGTTTTCGTTTTGCGATTTTGCATTGGAACCCCATAAACTGCGTACCACTTTTTCAAATAGTTGCCACCAAATGCTGTCGCCTTGTATTATATTTGAAGCAATTAAATAATGAAGAATCTGCATAAATTTATGTATGTTTCTCGCATTGTGATAAAACAACAGTACTCAGAGCCATCCATTTATGAATGACGTAATCCCACTGCGAATATGGGCATCTGAAAGCCCAAATTTGAAATTTGGAATATGTTTTATTATCGATTTCATATTTTGTAAAACTTTAACAAATTTTTTATTAACAAACTCAAAGTGAGCAATAGCAACACTGTACGGGGGGAAAAGAAAACTTTTTATCTCCAGTGCGCGGAACTGTGTATCAGAAATTCTGAAGATATGCTCATTTTAAAAAGTATTTTGCGATATTGCTGTTAAATTGAATTTTATGGTTTAAGTGCAAAGAACATAATATTTAATAAATAAAGGTACACAAAACGTTAAAAAAACGCCTCTTTGGACATAATTTAAAATCTGAAACCTTTCAAACTTTTTCTTTCTTTCTTTTTTGATGATCTAAATATCATCTTAAAGAAGGATAAATTATGAAAATAGAATAAAACAAACTAGCTAATAAATTCTGTTTAAATACAGAATATTCAGAATCAATATTCTGAAGCTGGTTGAAATTAAATCTTGATTAAATCCGTAATTGAATAATTTTCTGAGCTAATCATTCTAATACTCTTGTTTTGGTTTTATCTTCTGTTATTTAAAAGTTGCTTTTAAGTACATTTTGTTCATAATTAAATCATTCTATTTTATGTATTTTGTTCTTTAAAATTTTATAAATTTTGTGTAGTTAGTTAATTATTGATTTTGATTAATTTTATAAAAATGTGTATATTTTTCAGTAAATTATTTGTTAAAATTTATCATCAATTTGTTAAAATCTATCATACCTCCCCCCTTTCTTAAGTTGGGAATTCAAATGAGTAAACTAGAGACTTCACAAAAGGAAGAAAAAAACAAGATAGGAATTCAAAATTTCCTTTCTTCAAATTGTACTGCTTTACCTGATGACAAAAATGGAGATTTAAAACAGGTATTTGCTTTATTATACTCTCTCTTCCTCCATTTTCTGTCATATTGAAAATAAAATTTACTTAATTTTTTTTCATCTAGGAAATTTTTTCTCCAAAGAAGCTAGATGTAGTTGATAAATCCACCCCACATGAAGGTACTATTAAGCATTTTCTGACAAATAAACCATCTCCACAGAAGAAATTGTCATATCAGCCAGTCAGTATCACACCAGATCAAGTATGTTTAAAACATTACTCTCTTTTAAATGTTTTTAAATCAATTTTTTGGTAGTATATCAACAACATAAAGCCATTTCTTTAAATGTTATTATGTAAATGAAATAAAAAGAATGCATTGGTCATTAAACATAATAAAATGATTATCTCAATTATAAAGATGAAAAAAAAAATACTATTTTGTTATGAAATTAGTTTTTTAGGTAGATATATATAAGAATGGATGCTTTCAAATTAATTCGTATCATGCTAGTTAACTTAACACAACTTAAGTTTAGATTGCAGAAGTAGACATGTGTCCCATACTTTATGTGTTCCCGTATTGCTGGACTAAGGTGGAGTAAGGACTACTCTGGATGAACTAAGGTGGAATGATTGTGCTTGCTCCTAAAAGTGTGGATGACCTTTGTGTCTATTTTAAGATGTCCGAAAGACTTCAAAATTTCTTTCACTGACTACTAATGCATCAAACAGAAGTAATAAAAAAATTTTTCCAATTTGCATCTGGTTCTTTGACCGTTTAAAGGAAGTGCAAAATAAACTTCCAGATTTTGTTGGAAGTGCTGAGGAAACATCAGTGGCATTTACTGGCTGCAAAGCTTGGAAAAGCACAACTTGAATGGGAGTTATACATGTAAACAATGTCAAAGTAAACTTTGGAAAAATAGATTCCATATTTCAGTTGTGAAGTAAATACTCAAATTTACCTAAAGTTAATTGATATAATCATAATACAATTAAGTTTACAATTGATAGATTAGGTATTGATGTTGAAAGTGTAGTCTTAAATATATATAGTCTGTTCTTTGTCTCTGCTGAAAGAAGATAGCAATTAAAAGCATTCCTTGAATTTGAATCTCCGTTATTAATCTCAGGATGGCTAGGGTTAAATTTGACTTTCACTTTTCATTCAATCAGGATAACTCTCGCACTTTATAAATTCTTTATTTTTACAGTAAATATATACATATCATTACGGAAAATTCTTAACCTTAATCACATTCTCTCGTTTCCCGATTCTTGATTGCCATTGTGCGCCCCCTGTCGTCGGCTTTTCTACAATGCCATCTATCAGCTGATAACAAATGCAATACTTTTCTTTAATTGTCTTTATGTAAAATACTTATATATAAGACGTAAATCTACTTTGATCATCTTTTAAGATACATTCTTCTGAGGGTTTGGGAATCCTTAGAAGCCCCAGGGTGAGATGAACGTTCCCAGAAAAAACATTGTAATTCTTATGATGATATTCCATGAGTTAACAAAGTCTGAAGACCACTGATGTAAAGTAAGTGAAGTGACACAAGAAACAGGTGCTCAAGAGGCAGGCATAACTCCAGGTAACAGTACATGAAAACATGTCCTGTAGTAGAATTTTTTAAATTTTGCAAAGGGCGATGTTCAATTATTAAAAAGAACTGAGAATTCAGTAAAATACAATTACAGAATCTGATAGACCAGCCCCTTGAGAATTATAAATATTTAGTATTTATGTGCTATGTGTGCTAGGTAATATTTTGTGCATTCAACAAATATGTAATAAGGCTGTGCCATATTGTATATAAAAGTATCACCAAAGACCACAGTTGTCAGAGATCAAAATATCTGATCCCATGTATGTAGATTGTGTTATTAAATTTATCTCAGCTCTGCTGTTAACAATCTTCACGTTTTCATTAGCAACATTCTGTCACAGCTGTTGAGCTCAGAAATTTTTTATTTGTGTTGCTATGGCTCTCAAGCATAAGAATATTGATGTTACTGATGTGTCTAAACTAAATAGAAGCCATGTTATCTTATCTGTTAGTCAGAAAACAAAACCTTTGGAGAGCAAATTTTGCAATACTGCATCAGCAATGCAGTGTATGAAGTGTTATAGTGTACAGTATATTTTATTATTATTTATTAATATTGATAACGTCTTACTGTGCCAAGTTTATTAATTAAACTTTGTCAAAGTTATATATATTATATAGATATCCTGTTATACATAGCATTCATTGTGATCTGCAGTTTCACATATCCACAGTATGTGCTGAAGCGAATTACTAACAGATACAGGAATGTTACAAGTTTCATGAAAGGTAAAAATAAAGTATACAGATGCGATTTTCATGCCTCTGTCAGCTGTCATTTTTTAAATCTAGGTGTCTTTTTGTAATCTTTTTTTCAGTTATTTGAATAAACGTTGTATTCATCAGTATTTCATAATAATTAGCATCTATTTAATTTTAGCATTTCACTTCTGAAATAAAAAAGTGATACTTTTAAAGTATTGCAGATTGTAATAGAATAGTGATGGTGAAACTCACAAGTGTCATAAGTGACACTTGGTCATAATTTTGGTTGCATATTTGCATTTGGTAATGCAATCTCTACCTCATATATAAATTGTACATTTTAATTCTCTTTTTTATATGTGTACTTTTTCTTTTAACATTTGTTGCTTATTTTTTAGCACAAGTGTTATTATGAAGTAATTCAGAACATGTTACTGTTAATCAATATTTGAGTTGTTAATTGATTGTATACAGATTTATTTAGTGGCTGTTAGTAAACATAGTAATAGCATGTAGGTAAGTTATTGCAGAAATATATGAAGATTTATTAATTTATCGCATGAATTTCATTTAAGTTCTAATGCAGTAACTACTCATTTAACTATTTCAGTAGCACAAGATATATTGTTTTTCAGGGAAATCAAAAAATCTTGAAACACACTAGGTAACCCTAAAGCTTTAGCACTGAATTTTTGAAGCCAGTTTCAATGAAGTTGCCAAATGGTAATTAGTAGCAACCAGTTATTAACACATCTCAATTTGCATTTCAAAGTATTGTTTGCTTATAAAAAGAAGTTTTAATTGAATTTAGTTTAATTTTATGCAGCCAATATTTTCAGTAATGGATTAAGTGGCACTTCATAAATATTTTCAAGAGTTTGTTACAAAGAAAATTGTAACCTTCATTAATCTTTCTCTTTGCGTGCTTTCTGTTCTCTAAAGTGAAATCTCAGAAGGAAATATATGAGAGTATTTCCTAAATTCAGAAAACCATAATTATAGAATGAGTGTTCCAAAAGTTGACTCTGCTAAATAATCCAGAATCCAAGATATGTGTAGCATCAGATGAAATATGTAAAGGAGACTAAATAGTAATAAAGTAGCGTTGTCTGATTTGGACTCTTATGAATTCAGTCCTAAAATTTAGTTGATGAACATTGCACTTTTCATCACTGCACGTTTTTATCAGTTGTAATTGCAAAATACATTTAATGATATACTTTTTTTTTTCTTCAATAATAATTGTAAAATATATTATAAGAATAGAAGACCTTTAAAAATAGATTAAAATTTTTCAAGTTTCCAGAATTTCAATAGATTTTAAATTCATTTCAGCATCATAAAGAAGTGGCATTTATTATATGACAAATGTAAATTCTCCCTCTGCCCCCAGAAAAAAGTAGTTTGCTTTTTTTTAATGTATAGATGATGCCTACCCGCTTTCTAATATGTAACATTGTCACCTATTACCAAAAACGAAAATGATATTGAATCTTTTAAAAAAGCATGTAAATATATGCTATCTAATATTATATTGTTCGAAATTAAATTGGAAATATTTTTTTTAACAGCTGGACAAAAGTGTTTTAGATGCCTTGCCAGATGAAATCCGAAAAGAAGTACTAGAAGCTTGTGGAATTTCGATGCCTGTAGCATCCTATACATTATCTCAACCTACCAGTGCACATAATGTGAAAACCAAAGTAAATAAACCAAAAAGAAAGATGAATCCTCACTCTAGTAGAAAAAAGTTAAATCCTGGTGCAAGCAGCAGTCAAAACAAAAGTAACAGTGTAAGTTACATTCTTAATAACAGCAGTTTTAATAAAATATGTGTATTTGTTCTTCGATATAAAGAAAAGAAAATAATATATAATGATATTTATGTTTTGAACAGTATAATATATAATGATATATAAGGGCATTAATGTTGTAGTGGGCTCTGTTAATGTCTGAGTGTTTAAGGCTGTTGAATACTGGTAGTTTGACCTGGGATCAAACCCAAATGAATGGGATGGCTGTATGGTTTGTTTTCATTATTTGCCCTATGTATAATTATTTTATGGTATCAGAAACAACTGGTATCAGGGAAAACATTAGTCGAATTAACGAATATGGGAATCTGGAAGCCCAAATTTGGAATTTGTTTTAATATCTATTTCATATTTTGTAAAGCATTTATGAGTTTTTGATTAAGAAACTCATAGATTTCAAAACGAGCAATGATAACTTTGTACGGGAAAAAAAAAACATTTTTATCTCCAGTGTGCGAGACTCTGTATCTAATTCTAAAGAAATTCTAAAGATTCCAGGATTTCTAAAGAGTTCTAAAGATTCTATCTAATTCCGGGAAATTCTAAAAGATATGCTCTTTGTAAATTATTTTGTGATATTGCCCATAAATTGAATTTTATAATTTAAGTGTAAAGAACATGATATTTAATAAATAAAAGTAACACACAAAACGTTTAAAAAAAAAAAAAAAAAAAAAAAAAAAGCAGAACCTTTGTGCTTAATCTAAAAATCTGAAAACCCTTCCCCCCCCAAGAAACCCACCAATGTAAGATTAAAAGGGGGGGGGGACTTAGCATGGCATGGATTTTGAATAAAACTGTATCATTTTTAAGAACAACAGACATAGGTACTTTTTCTTCAGGAGCCAAATTTTTCTTTCAGAAGAGGGAGAAGCAGCCAAAATAACAATCGTGTGTTTGCCAATAGATTTAGTTGAGAATTAATCGATTTCGAGGGCAAATAGGCGCAGGTCCCTCTTCATCAGGAACAAAAAAAATCTGCAAGACTGATTAGTTCTCAGCTTAATCTATGCCAAGCATAAGGCTGATTCTTTGCTAATTTTATGTTTCACTTGGCATGTTTCTTTTCTCTTTTGATTGCAGGTATATGTTAGCTGTTATTAATTTTATAAAATTAATTTTTTATTCTACTAAAACATGCTCTAAATTAAATTGCTCAGAAAATTAGATTTGCTAAGGTGGTAACAATTATAAGCCAAAGTGCTGTTTTCATGCCAAATGACTCAATATTATATCCGAGGAAATATATTGAATCTTCTCATGATGGATGCAGACAACCACCTCTGAAAATGACTTTTATGTCTGTGAAGATTAATAAATCCATAATGGATAGTTAATTTATCTCTAAGACCACTTCCTAACCTGACCGTGAGTATTAAAAATATTTATTTGTGATCACCAAAAATGTCATAATTTTGCTGTCTACCTAAGAAGTTTCAAGTCTTTTGCACTTTTAGAAATGTACTTCCACCAGAATAACTTCTTTTCTGTAAAAAAAATCATTAGCCATTTTGTTTTGCATAAATTGCCTAATTCTTTTTAGATATGTAGGTATTGGTCTGCTTTAATAAATAATTAGCCTTTTCATTTTAAAAAGTAGGCATAAAAGCAACCTTATTTTAGTGTCAAATTTGAATAAAACTTCATCATTATTGAGGGCGATCACAAACAGGTTTCTCTTCTTTTAGAAAAATCTTTTGCAAAATGAGAGGAGTGATGACCGTTTTTATGCCAAAGGCAATGTGCAGAGCTAAAGCGAGTGCAAGCTTAATACCTTTTATGAAGTAAAATAGGAATCAAACATGAAAAACAAGTATTAGAATTCTGAAAGTGCTATGAAAGATTGGATTAGAATTAATGTCATTTACTAAGAAAGGTAAATTTTTGTGAATGTTTTCACATAGACAAAAATCAGTTTAAAGTTTTTCATATCTTAAAAATTATGTTTTTTTAGTTAGTGACATAGATTCCAATGCAGTCCTTCTTAGTGCCTTTCTGAATTTTAAACCTTAGTTTTCATATTTCATTCCTATTTTCCTTGCTTATTACACTATGCTTGCTGTGCTGCTGCTTTTGACATAAAAGTGGTCATCACTCCTTCCATTTTGTAATTCTTTCTTTTCTGAAGAACAGGAATCTGTGTCTGTTTGTTTAGAATTAAATGCAAAATTTATGCCTGTGCCTAATTTTACATTAGTTTATTTCTCTTTCTTCATCTCCTTAAATTTAATGAAATTTTTGGAATTAATAAATTGTTCATATTCTAGTTTAGAAGCATGGCTGTTCTTTTGCACCATCTCATAGTGCTAAGTCCCTGAAGAGATTCTATGATGCTATGTTTTACTTATTTATTTATTTATGTTTGATTTTTTTTAAATTCTGGTTTCTTATATTTTAATATGGTATATTCTTTTCTCATATTTCATTCCCCTTTTCTTTTATTTTGAAGTATCAAATTGTGGCAGTTCTAAAAAGATTATAAAAGATTTATTCATTGCGTTATAGATAGATATATTGTGAAAAATATTTTTTTAATTAATTAAATTTGTTAAATTAACAAAAATCAGTTTTTTTAAGCAAACTGAAAATTATTACTAATTATTAAATTAAATGTATCAAAGATATAATTTGTTATATTTTTTGCAGAGGCAACAGGAAAGCAAAATATTAATAAACAGTAGTATAAATTTCATGGAGGGGGGGGAGTCAATGACTGAAATGACAAATCATACAAAAATTACAGTGTAGTAATAAAAATAATAATTTAATCCTTAAATTAGAATAATGCCAAACTTCATTATAGTACATTCTTCAAAATGATCACCTGTGATTTGTGTTCTGAGATGGTTGCATTAGAATGGTGATGTTCAATATTGATTTTTATGTTCACTGTAATAATAATCACTTTTAGAAAGGATCATCTTTGTAGCTGGTCACCACCAGGAACTCGCTGTATATGCAAATTAAAACTTTTCATTAAATACCTCAATTTGATAAATCATTTTATTGATAATGCAAGCTTTGATGTGTTGATAAGGGGAAAATGCTACTTATATGTTGCAATAATAAGTGATAAATTTTTTTCTTAATGCAGAGTTTCCAGCAAATTTAATAATGGTTAACTTTCATGATGTGCGAGATTGCATTTTAGCAATGTAAGAAGTCAGAAAAAGCCCGTGTTTAATAGATTAATTTTCTCCAAATGGATAAAAATTTTTACATGTGGCTAAAGCAGTCATCAAATAAAACCAGGAAACTGTTCAATTTATGAGATCTTTTCTCTAACATGTAGCATTAAATTTTTGGAGTAATTTTTTTATTATTTTTTAAATGTAAGTGTTTAAATTTGTGTTGTTATAAATTTTTAGACTATAAAAACGTGTCTTGTGGAGAGTGCAGCTAGAAAAACTCATCCTCAAATAACAACAGCAAAAGAGACTAAGAAAGCTAATCTGGGTGGAGCTGTAGAAATTAATGAAGTGAGAACTTTAATCAAGGAATGGATCCATAGCACTGAAGGTTTTTGTATTTTTAATTCATAGAAACATAATTTAATTATCCTTATTATTAGATTATAATTTGAAAATTATATTGAATTGTAATCTGCAGCTAATTCAGAAATGCTGCTTGCAGAAATTAGAAATTCTGCAACCCCCAAAAAGTTTATTTGTAAATGAACTACATGTTTACAATCAATATATCTGACATAAATCAATTTGTTTGATACCTTTACTATTTATTGAAATATCTTTAATCTAATTTATCTTCATTGTACAATCTGTCATTACATATATTTCTTTCTTTTTTATTCTCTCTCTCTCTCTTTTTTTTTTTTTTTTTTGGGGGGGGGGTTACATTTGATTTCAGTGGATGATATTTAGTATGCTTGCATTATTTTATGGTCAGAGTATTGTTAATGCGCTAAAAATATGCTTTTTAAACAGATACCTCTGAAAATTGCTAAATTTCTTTAAACTTTTCTTAGGTGAGTCAGAAATATTTTCTTTTACATTCATGTTGCCGAAATTGAAGCACATTACTAAGGCTGAAACATTTTGGGGAAATTTAATGCATTGATTTATTTTCCTTTTAAATTTTAGCTACCAGTTCATTTTGCTGAAAATGAACATTGTAGGATTTACATTGAAACATTTTGAGTAATTGCAAGTTTCTCAAATATATTCAAACTCTGTTTGTTCAAGAACTATTGAAAATAACTGTCTTAACCATAGGGGTAGAAATATATCAAGCAGACATCATGCCCAAAATCTGAAGTTCAAAACAAGTCAACTTTCAGCCGACTACTTCCTCTCTTTTCCCACTTTCTTATTGGCCCTTATCCAATCCCTTATTAAAGCGGGGTGCTATGAACATCGTTGATATTCTTGACAATATTCACTTTAAGTTAAACAAAAATATCATATAAATATAATATTTTTGTTTAACTTAAAATGGTAAAATGGCTTGTTTCCCTTTTATTGGATGCTCAGAAAGAATTGATAAATTCAAATAAAACAAAAAATTAAGCTTTCATAGGTAGGTTGTTTTTATGTATAAAATAATTTAAAATTTCCTTTCCATTTTTTTTATGTGTGTGTGTGCTGGTGTTGTATGTGTGTGTATGTGGTAGAATGCACTAGGTGTATGAATTTGTATGAAATAAAACTTGTATGGATTTAAAAATTCAGAATCAACTGTTAAATCTATAAGAATTTAAGAGCATATTTGGTGTCCTAAATAGTCGGAATGAAATCAGAAAAAGAATGTATATAGTGAACTATTTGCAAGCTATTGAGTATATGGGGTTTGATCTTATTAAAAGTTTGAGTGATGTCACAGAAGCCATAATATTATACATTGCTGGTTTTATTATAAGAAATTTAAAAACAAGCTTAACTGTAAGCAGTGTGTTAAGCTGTTCATACTAATAGAGAATAAACTTTCCTTCATTAATCTTGCAAAAGAGCAACAGAGGCGTAATTTTCATATTGATGATGTTTTGTGTGTATGCAGAGATAAAGCTTTTCAAAAGTACATAGCTGGTGGCTTAATGAAACCTGCTAGCTTAAGGAAACAAATTTCATTTGTTTTATTGAATCAGAAGAAAAAACAGTAAAAAATTAACTCTTTTCATTGAAATATAGCTAGTTCCCTGCCTAGCACTGCCTTTCCCCCTCTCTGCAAAGTAGCTGGTTTATTTTATCTATCTGTGTACCGTGCAGCTTTCAGTCTTAATGAGGGTGCTAATTTCTACCTATTATAGGCTCCAAAATTATGAATCTTGTCTTTCATCTTAGCACTTGGACACCAGGCATTCACTTCTTGATGCTTTTTAGACTGACTGCTTTTTAGAGAGAAATGCAAGCTATTACCTTTTTCGAATGAAATGTGTGATATTATTAACTATTACTATTATGCAAAAGAAATATTGTGTTTTAATGATTTAATCCATCAATTTTGATCTTTTATTACAATGTAAATGATGTGGGCACATTAAAATAATTTTTTTAAAGTAAAATACTGAAAATTATAAGTATAGATATGTTTAACTTCAAACTCTTCCCATAAATTTTAGATATATGTATATATACACCAAACGGCCATTGCATTACGACCACCCTGTTAATAACATACTAATTAGGACATACTAATTAGGACCACCTTTAACCCTCAAAACTGCCAGCATCCGGCATGGCATTGACTCCAGAAGGTGCTGATAGGTCGTCTGAGGTATCTGGTACCAAGTGCTCACCAACTGGTCCTGCAATTCCTTCACATTACGAGGGGGTAGCATGGCAGCATGAATTTGATTTTCCAAGTGGGACCACAAGTGCTCTATTGGAATAATGTCAGGTGAATTTGGAGCCAAGACATGACTTCAGTCACTGGAATGTTCCTCGAACCACTCCCTGACGATTCAACCCTTATGGACATGGTGCATTATCCTGTTGGTAAACATCAACCCCCACTGGAAATACTGTTGTTATGAATGGGTGAACCTGGTCTACAATGTTCACGTAGTGCACAGACATCAGGGATTGTTCTATGGGGCTTCTGGGACCTAATGTGTTCCATGAGAACATTGCCCACACCATATTTACCCTGTCACTGGCTTGTTTCTGTCCAACTGTGCATCTGGGAGCCAGGGTTTCATTTGGAAATTGGAGTATTAGCACACATGCCATCGATGTGATGGACCAGAAACGTGATTTGTTGGACCATGCAACTTTCTTCCATTCTTCTAATATCCAATTCCAATGTTTTTTTTTTTTTTTTTTTTTTTTTTTTTTTTTTTTTTTTTGCGCACTGCAGATGCAGCTGACGATGACGTGGCATCAGTGCAAGGATATGCTTCGGCCTCTGGCTGCATAGGCCTGTGCAGAGCAATGTACGCTGCGCAGTGTGTTGAGAAACGTTGTCTGGGTTGCCAATGTTGTAGCTGGTGGTAATTTTGGCTCACGGCAAACAATGCGTAGCAATCTCCGCTCTCCTCTGGAATCAATGTGCCTTCAACGACACACTGCTGGCTGGCGACTTGTTGTTTCACCATCCATACACCACTTTCAACAACTTCATGTGAACAGCCCACTAGACACGCTGTTTCCGATACTGATTTTCCCAGTCGCTGAGCCATAACGATTTGGCCCTTACCGAAGTCTGATAAATCAGCTGCTTTTCCCATTATGTTGCTAATCACGCTATGTTTGGAAAGACAATGCATAGCCACTTTATATATTCCAATATCAGCCGTGCACGCACAGTAGTTTTCTTCCTGGGCTAGCCCATTGTTATAGATGGAGGATGGTCGTAATGGAATGGCTTTTTGGTGTATATATGTACAGTACCTGATACTTATTAAAATCACTTCTCTTCCAGATGTATTTAAGTTTATTAAGCAGCTTATTTTAATAGACGGAAATTTGTACATCGCGAACGGTAATATCAGTTCAAAAGTTTTTAAATAAAATAAAAACTAACAATTAATTCATTAATTAATCCTAAAGTAATAATTAAAATGTAATATTAATAATTTTGTAATATTACTATTTAATTTACATAATTTTGAAATTCATTTTTTAAATTTTATAAAAATATTTTTATAATTACATTCTGAATAAAATTTTATCTCTAAAGTCCCAATCACATTACGTTTCGGCTATGCGAGACTTGACATCGAAAGGAGCAATTCTCAGAACCCGCACAATTCCAGGAAATCCACGCAGCTAAGTTATCAATTCACTTACTACAAAGACTTGAACGCTAAACACTAATCGATTATCGCTCAGATTGGGTTCACGTGAGGCTTCAGAAGCAGAACTTTTGTCTGATTGGTTGTCTCTACCCGGGACTGAGGTCCAGCCAAGACATTTTGGATAAGGTTTGAAAAAAAAATCCTACGTAACCACAACATAGTTTCCGTAGTTAGGCGGGGCTCTTTTTTCTAGGAATCCACCTGTTTAAACAAGTGATATCAGAAACTTGTTTCTTAGAAAAGTCCCGTTTAGCAGGGACTGTAGCCATATGTGATAACCTCTTTACAAGCAAATGTTCTGTCTATGTTTGTTTCATATTATTCAAAAACAATTTTTCATTTTCATTCTCAATTTTGTAAAGTTGTTTATAGCTATTTGAATCCTCACCTTTTAGTTCAAGAATGCTTTTTAGAATTTGAAGTGCTTTTCTAGACTCGATTGATGATGACATGTCTGTCTTCACTTTCGCTGTCAGTTTCTGCATTTTTTTAACACTTTCATAGTAAATTTTTGTGCTTCTTGTCTCACTATCAATGTGAATCAACAAATATTCTAAAAATGAATCCTCTTAATTTCTCTAACTGATATCTGTAACATTAGCTGTTGTTTGAAATTCCTCTGAGGCTTCTATGTAAATGTGATATATTTTAAAACATATTTTAAAAGATTAATCCCCTGAATTGATTATAATATCGTCTCTGGCAGAAATATTGGCTTACTTGTTTCCTTCGAAGTTATTTTTGCAAAATTAAATTTTGTTCATCAGCTACAGAACATTTTTTCTGTTAGGATATTTGAAAGTTTTAATAATACCTTGAAATTAAAGATTGAATATTAGAAGTTGTATTTGCAGGAACAGACTCTAATGGCATGAAGGAACAGACTCTAATGGCAGAAAGAGATGTTTGTTCTGCTTAAATATTTTTTCAGTTTTCAGTTTGCTTCTCATTTCAAAGAAAGTCAGTAAAGATACTATTTGTCATCCATCATTATTGTTCTTGTGGTAAGTCAGAAGTAAATTCTCGACTCCTTTCAAACACTGAGGTTTTCTGCTTTTGTTAATAACCAGTACTGTCTTCTTAATTGTTGGATCCATATTGCACGTTACAGTAACTTATTAATTCAGTTTTTAAATCAACTACTGTTTCACTTTTAAATATCAGTGTGTGTTCTGTAATGCAATCAAGCTTTGTCTGTATTATAAATTTCATGTGGCTTGTATTTATTTAGGAGCCCAAGTAAAATATCTTTTATCCAGTTGTTAGC